TCATTTCAAATCTATTATTGTGTAATTAGATGAACATATTATATACATATTATTATATAATAGTGAATTAATATATATTTTGCAAATAATTTTATTAAATAATTTCATTCCAAGATTTAATAAATTGTTTGTTATTGATTCCTATTATTTTCGAATTTCGAAAAAAAAAAAAAAAAAAAAAAAAAAAACAGAATTTATCTTATATTGAAAGGAAAGAAACTGAACTGAAGTGAAAGTTTGCATCGATTTATTTACTTCAATTGACCATCATAATTGCCAGTAGGACGTTACTTCTACAACTAACTTCTATCATAAGAACTCGCCATAAAATACAATGTTTATACCGATACATATTTATAGTTTTTATGATCAAACCTCATAAAATTTCAATCTCATTTTTATATAAGTTGGCTATTTTCAATTAGCTTTATTTAACTATAGACTTAAAAAATCAGCTTGACTTTACTATTTCATTTGTCGTAATTTATAATAAACAATTAATTAAAATATACTATCATTAATTTTATTATTATTGAATATATATATATATATATATATATATATATATATATTATAGATTAAATTGCTAAGTAATGTAATTGTAATAATCAAACAATTGATATTAATAAATCTGAATTACTTATTCTTAACGAATTTATCCAAAGGCCAGTGAAATTTCATAATTTCTCACGATCAATAATTAATAATGGCTTAATAATGGAATTATTATTAATAATGGAAAAAGGGAAACTTCACTCTTTAAATATTGAGAAAAGATCTTTAAACTAAGAGACTCTAATACTTATGAAGTAGTTTTAGTAGCTTATGAATTATCAAGTAATTGTTAGTAAAAATGTCTCCATATAATCACCCACGAATTTATATTGCAGCTGTATTAAGCAAATCTAATAATATAGATGATATACCACTACAATTGTATCCTTTTCTTATTGTGCATTTATCGACAAAATGTTGCGTATCAATGAAAATCTTCCTGTAATTACAATATTCAATTATTCCATTGTCATCAGCATTACACCTGACCTATACCTTGATCAACTGTATCCGACTTTACCTCATTCACCTGTCAATCAATCAAGTTTCGACACGTTGAAAAATATTTTATATTGCAGTTTAAGTGAATCATTTGGTGTTTAATCGCCCCATCAAGAAAGCGTCAAAGTACCAGAAAATTAAATCTTTTAATCCGTACGTCAAACCAAATAATATACAATTAACAGCAACTCACCCTATTTCATTTTTTCTCTCATTTACACTTTCGTACTCACCTCCTGACTTTCCAACGCAAATGAAACAATAAATGAAAAACGTCGAAAAAAGCGTACCTGACACCCCTAATAACGAAAGCAACTCAGTAATAATCGTAATCAGTTGACGCGCGCATTATCCACGTAAAGTCGCCTACGAGAGTAAGACCTGTCTGGCATACTTCACGCATTCGGTTCTCTTGTCACGAAACACAAACATCGCGTTACGTACGAAGGGAGTAATTTCTCTGCACGGTGAGTTGCCAGTGCCGGTAGCAGCAATAGGACCGAATACCAAAATCATATAATATGCATAATAATCATATAATAAATTAATAAATAAACTGTCGTGAAGGAGTATTACTAATGAACATTACTCGCAGACTTATTATGTAAGAAGAGTATAGAATAATATTAAAATTTTAAATCGTATATTAAAGCGTCACTATAAGTACAATCGATAGATATAATTTGATGGGATTGTTGTCCTGAATACCAACTAATGAAACGATTTGCTTTTTAATTGCATTTCTTTTTCGTACGGCAACGCGAAATTATAGGCCATGACGCGTGTCCTCAAACATATAGGATAAATTAATCTGAATTATAGAAATCATTTAAAGTTAAATTATGGTTAATCAATCTTATCTCAAAATATTATTAATTGAATGAGAAATAATTATTTAATATTTGCTGAGCTTCATAGAAGTCAATAAATTAATGTTCTTGGCCGTTTAATAGATTTCAATATAAATTAATAATAATGTGAGTAAATGTATAATTGTAATTATTGCAATGTACACCTTATTACAGTGAAATTGTGAAAAATATTAAGCATTAATGAAAAGGAAAGTTACTGGGAAAAAATATATTACCTAGATATACATACGCCAATGATAATTCTTAACATTTATTATAAGTTCTGATACATTTCTTAACTAAGCCATAAAATAACGAATAAATGCCATAAATACTATACTAACGACATAAATACCATATAATACAAATTGGTGTAATATATGCTTAAATTCATCGTACGTAATTAAATATTTTTAGCTTTATTTCAGTGATAGATAAATGAAAAAAATTTGCCAATTACAATGGATTTATATACATATGTAAGAAATGTTCTCCCATAATAATAATCATAATTTTTTCATAATACTCACGAAAACCACGTAACTACTCTGCACACATGTATCGTAGTGATTAAAAATGCAAGGTAGAAAAAATATAAAATTCAACGCTTAAAACACGTTTACCGCTCGTATTCAACAATATTAATGTTAACATAAATAATTCAAGCATTTCATTTTTTTTTCCCTTGATATTATGATAACTATAAGAGAATTCTTAATTAAAAGTAGCTCATTAGTAAATAAATTGATTAAAAGTCAACTTTGAATACAATGTTTATTAATTGTGACGTATTATCACCCACTTTTTAAAACTATGTTTTCAGCAATATGAACCTGTTCCAAAATTTATAATGACATGAAAATAAAGAAATTTTCGTCCAATTCAAAGCGAAAGACGAAATCATTCCATCAGGTCAAACATTAATATTCTCTTTCCCAGTAGTGGTGAATTATTATATTTATAAAAATGTCTTACAAACGATCCGAGTATTTAATCACTGTATCTCATAAAAAGAGCTTATTAGTGAATTTTCGCATTACATTCTGAATTATATCAGCATAGATAAAGAAGTCTTTATGCAAATTTATGCGACATATTATGGAATATAAATAGCAAAATATTCAATGTAGTAGGGAAGAGATATGGAATTTACGGCATAATAAGTTCTCAAAAAGCCTATCTCATCATTTCAATAATCATATATATACCGTTTTAAAATAATAATAAATATTTGCTTATTTATTAAATTTAAGGATTAATTACTAATATTGAGAGGATCTAAACTAATATTGTCAAAATCATAATTATATTATTTAAAAGTATTGTTTTTATCAAGAGATACGTAATAAATGCACATAATAGATAATTAAACTTAAAATACTATTTTAATAATTTGTTGTTTAAATTAGATTTCATAAAAGAATAATTTTACTAAATTACGTTAAGTTATATATAAGTTTTCTTTATTTTCTAAATATTAAAAAAAAGAAAATTACTTAGCTCAATAAACTTCTCTAATAATTCTGATTGGAAACAAATTAGAATTAATAATGAAAATTAACATTCTCAATTGTAAATAAATTACTTATGATAAATATCAAAGAATTTCTATACGATGTTTTATATTATTTTCCTCGATTATTGTATTTGATAAGTAATAAAAAAAAAAAAAAAAAAAAAAAAAAAAAAAAAAAATACGTGTAAAATAAATTTCCATTGTGAAGCTTGAAATTTGTTTGCGTATCATCTTACTTTATGCTTTTAAATAATTTTATCGTATATTATTATTGTATTAAAGTAAAAATTTCAAATTTATAGGAAGTTTGATAATGATTGTGATAATGATGATTTCATGAAGATTTCGAATAGGAAAGAGCTTCTGGTTTAGCTACAGTACGTCAAAATCATAAACAGAATCCTAAAAGCAGATCAATTTCTATATTGTACGAGAATCAGAAATTACAAGCTTTTGTAATATAAAGATGTCATTCATAATTTTTTTTTTTTTTTTTTCCTATTGCTTTACTTGAGCTAACCGCATTATATCTTGGCTATAATTGCGTATTGGCAATTTCAGAATTAAAATAATCAGGGTCATCATGGAGGAAAACATTGTAAGAGCTAATACAGCAGCGAGATGCCGCATAGAGTGATAATTTTGTATTTCCCCGCAATGCGTTTATTACCTCTCTTTTATAATTCGTCAAAAAGCTATATTTGCCAATCAGCAACCGCTTAATATTTACAAAGTTGAAATAGGCAGTTTCACTGCGTCGGTGCCGCAAAGCCACCTGGCCCAGCCATCGCCACCTCATTAAAACTTATTAACATAACTGCGACAATGCAATACCCGACTGAAAATAACCACAAGCTGTTCCCGTAGAGATTAGCCAGCCGGGGCAATCCAAGGCTGAACAAAGAGCCAAACGTATTATCGTCCTCCTCGCTCCCTCTCGAGCTAGCAGCCACTTTGCCTTTGTGCATGGAGGAAGGAAGGGCTCTGGAAAAACGGGAGCATGCGGATGACACAGGAGGGGCGGAGTCACTCCGCTCTCCTTCGGGAAAAAAAGTGCCGGGAATGCGCGGAGAGAGATGATGTAGGCTACGACGGCGGCGGTGGCGAGAGCAGCGGCGACGGCAGCGGCGGCGGCGGCGGTGGCGGCGGTGGCGGCGGCCGCGGTGACGGCGGCGACGGCACTTGGCGGTGGTAGAAAGGACGCGCGCGCCCGCGGATGATCATCCAATGAGAGCCAGCTGCGATTGGCCAGGGGTTAGCGTGGGATCGGTTTGCGCCTCTTATAGACCGGTTCGTCGTTTCGCGCGCCAATTGTGCGCGCGGCATCGCGATTGGAGATCGCACGCAACTACTCGCTTTACTCTCTCGTGTGGTGCCTTCGCGCACTTCTTCCTCTTATCTTTCGCTCTGTCTCTGTCTCTCTCTCTCTCTCTCTCTCTCTCTCTCTCTCTCTCCACTTCTCTCCGTCTTTTTACTATCCTGTTTAAATTTTACTTGCAAGTATCGTGCAAGTTGCTTTTTTACCTTACTCTTCCTTTTCTGCCGCTATCAAAGTTCGTTGGGGGTTGGGGGGGGGGGGTTTAGAGAAAACGAGGGAAGGATAGAAAGAAGGAAGATCGATCGTCTTCGTTGACTGGACTGCCGATCAGTTTTTATGCGACCTAGCCATGAAGCGGATCTCGGTCTATTGCCTCGTACTCGGCTTCCTGACCGCACAGGCGTCGGCCTACATGGTACACGAGGAGCCGGAAGAGGAGGTGAGTGCTGACTTGCCTGCCTACCCTGGGATCTCGAACACCGATTTTTACAGGAAGGCTCAGTGACTAATAGTGCACTTGTGCAAGATTTTACGGGCCTTTTCAACCATTCATATTGCCCATGTGTGAAAGAACAGTGAACGCTTCTTATTTATTTACATATCATTTATGTTAATCGAGATTTCCAAGAGAGATTAAAGCCTCTTCTTCTATCGGCTCTTTTAATTCGTTTTCTTCGCGGCATGTCTTCGCCGAGGCGTTTCTTCACGGTACACCTTCATAAAGCCGATACTTGCCGTTGTGTCGTCTTTTTGCTTCCGTCATCGATTTGTTTCAATGCAAAACTGCACGGTCAAAAATCGAATTATACATTGCTTTAACGAGTAATCATTTTAAACGACAATCATGACATCCTCATACAAAACTAATATAGTTAGATTAAAAAAATTTTATAATTTATAAATTTTATAATTGTTGCTTTTTCATTAATTGCATGAAAAAAAAAAAATTAGTCTTTTTTTTTTTTTTTTTTTTTTTTTTTTTAATAAATAATTATAATTCAAAGACATTTGCCTTTGACTTTTTATTTTATTACATAAAGTTTCAAACAAAGGCAATACTACAAAGAGCGAGACAACTATTTTTCTGTATAATATATGCTTATTAGCGACGAATTACGATAATAATCTTTTTCCGGTATATTAACACATTTCATTAAAATTAGATACATTAATAATTGAATACAATGTACAATCTAATTCAGATGGAAAAACATATATATGCATACGAGATATAAGTTGTTTGCCTAACAAAATTGATATAATGAATTAAAAGGAATTATATTTTATATAACAACAAAATACGAAATAAGAAAAAAGAAAGAAATAATGTTATTTACAATAACAGTTTGAATCTATAGTATAAAATCAATTACTAATTCCACCGAATAAATTTTATCATTAATGTATATAAAGTTATTTATTCCTTAACTAGTGATATCACATCTGGAATCAAAAAAGATTGTCGTAACATACTTTTCAAACGCAAAGTTTTTATCAAGTAATTACTTCATGGTCGTGCGATAATGCACTCAATGACATTAAGAAATCTCATCCCTGTAACTGCTAATAAGGACGCCACATAAATAACAAGTGTAAATTACGTTTTACGCGAGTGAGTTCTAAAATGGTAAAGAATCGTGACATAATAAAAACCAAGAATCCGATAATTCCGAGGAGTACTTCTAAAGATAAAAATTATTTGTTAATCAATGAAAGCTTAAAGTTCATAGTTTTCATAGCCTGTAAATTTTATAATATTATAATTTTAAAAAATTGTTGTTAACAAGGACGAGCTTGTGCGAATTACGTGTTAAATTGTAATTAAAAAATGCCATTAGTATTATACTACATTTAGATATAGGAATGCACGTAATATGCGTAATATATGGAATTTGCATGAGTTTTTAATAATTTCGTGGAATAGTGCTTAAATTAATAAAGTACGCGAGTAGCAATAAACATATTAATTCTTAAAATGATTTTTGAATTCTTTACATTCTATTAAATTATATATATTTTTTTTTTTTGTTTTATTTATTTATAGTTTACAATAAATATCTATAAGTTTAAGAAACAGATTTATATATAATTAAAAATAGATAATTAGCAGAGTATTTTTTTTTCATTATTTTAGCGTAAAGGTTTTTCTCGTTAAAAAATAAATATATTAAAATAACATATTTTATTACTTAATATTTTTTCTATAATCGTAATACTATTTATATTAATAATTTTATTATTAAAATTAAAAAATAAATTACATACACATAGAAATAATACTTCTTTACATAAGTATATATATATATATATATATATATATATATATATATATGTAGCATATGAATAATCTATTTATAATCTATAAATAACTATCAATTAGAATAAAAAATTATATTTATTGAATGTGACGCGATTGGGGAAATTCATTAAGACTGTTTCAATTCTGGATAATAATATTTAGGAATTACATTGCTGCTATTGAGAGCTCGGAAACGCATGATTATGGTAACCTTATGGTTAGCTTACTATATAAATATTTATAATCGGATTTTTATAGGAGTTAAACTACAAGTGCAATAAAGGACGAAATTTTAATACTAAGATGCGCTACTAATAAAGTCTTACATAATTTATATTTTAATCAATTACTCGAATGAAAAATTTGGTTCAGCTTACATCTCATATCCATATGCATTATATAACTATAAAATTATTAATTTCCATCATGTTTATATTTTATAATTGCATATTTTTCAGAAATATTGTTAAATAGTTTTCAATTTAGAATAGTTTTAAATTTGTCTAGGAAGTTTATTAAATTTAATAGAAAATTATGAAGGTTAATGAATTAAGCTGATAAATAATAATTATAATATAGAGCACACTAATATATCAGAAAAAAAAAAAAAAAAAAAAAAAAAAAAAAAAAAATTGAAAAATAAAAAGTACTTAATGCAGTGTTAGACGTTTTAATGTTATAAAAATCTGTTAGAAATTTCATAATCTTTAAATTAAGAAATTCTGAAAAAAATTAATATAATTAGTAGGTGCAGAATGTCAAATAACTATTTGCTGGAAAATTAATGGTTGATAGTAAAAGTGTTAAAGCGACACAAAAGCTTGCGCAGTTTATCTATCGTACGAGAACTTCTTTTACTTTTCAACCGCGTATACTCTGTACAATCATAAATTATAATACAAAAATGTATTTTGTAAAATTTTGATGCTTTATATTCTTCCGTCGTTTAAACATACGTTTAAACAAAAAACAGAATATATGAACTCTAGAACTTATTTAATTTAAAGCTGTATTCGTGGAATAGTTTCAAATTAATTTAATGATCTTTAATTAAGATTTAAGAAGAGACCTATTAATAATCTGCATGAATTGTAATCCAATCTCGAAAATAGTTTTGATTTGATTTCACTACCCGCCACTACAAGCATATTACGTAATACTATTTGGAAAAGAAGTTTGTTTGATGTAACTAGATACTGATGAAGTAATTACATTAGAAAATTTAGACAGACAAATTTTTTGATGAATCAAAATAACGAGATAGGCATATTAAGCAAAATTTTTATTTAATTTTAATAGATAATAAAAAGGTGATTAAATTTTATATAAAGACTTAACGATTGTATCATAATAGAGTAATTGGAATGAGATTGATTTAACAATTAATGTAATTATTTCATAATTATTCATTTAAACAAATATATAAATAAATATATATACATTAGCAATAATTATAAATAAGAAAGGAAATGATGATGTCTTCCTTGTACAAAATTATAATTTCTGATTGAGTAAAGTAAAGTTGGTGTATTAAAATATGCAATGACTTACTGAAAACATCGTTCAAAGTACAAGATATAACATAATATATAAGAATTCAAGTTCAATTCTTAGTTTTCAACATCCTTTTAATTTTCTAGAAAACTAGAATAATTTGATAAAATAATAATAACGGTTAGAATACTTTTATCTTATATATATATATATATATATATATATATATATATATATATATATATATATATCAAAATAATTAGTTTAAAGAAATATATAAGAAATATAATATAAAGAAATAATATATAAAAATATATTATGGAAGGGAATGATCAGGCGAAATATACTTACTATAGTTGACGAAGAATATTAACAAGATGCTGATAAAGTTCATAATGAGAAAGTATACATATATGCATATTGAAAGTAGATATCGTTCAAAGAGATTGAAAGTGACGAGACATACTTTCGATATGTATCGATGACAAACAATTTCATCATTTATGCAATCGTTAAAATTTGTTTGTTTAAAATACTCGGC